CTAATTAATGTGACGAGGACTAAGCTATTTCATATCCTATTAATGAAAGCATCATGAGTCAATACTCAACCATCTTTTCGAATAAGAAAAATATTAATTGATATTCTTTAAAATAAATAATTTCCATATAATATAAAAAATATTTTATTTGTTTTTGTATACTCATCTAAAAATAAAATATCTAATACGAAAAATTGAAAGTATTGATTTTTGTATTTTAACTTCTTCTAAAAACGAATATTTTTTTCTTATTTTTGATTTAAATTTTATATTATTAATATTCATAGCTTTAAACAGCAACAAGAATAAAATGTTTAATAAATATTGTAAGTAACTTTTATTATTAGTACAAATTTTTAAATAAAAAAATTAAAATAAAATAAAACTCATAAAATTTATAAGATAAATTAGAAATAAATTTAATTTTAATAAATTAATTAATTTATCAAAACAATAATACAACATACACTATATAAATATAATATAATAATTAGTTTAAATTTGAAAATATATTGTTTTTAATCTTTACAATTTTTCTGAAAATCATAAAATTTAATAATAATTTAAAAATATTTTTTTTTAACATAAATATTTCTTTTATGACTCTCTTTAAAAGATGTATTTATTAAATTAAATGTATTCTGAGAAAACCATTCAGCAATTAAGCCATAAAATAGTAGGCTAATAAAAGAAATAAGCTCATTCATTTTTTCATATTATAACTAATCAATCTATTTTTGTTGTAATTATAAAAAAACTTAGATATCAATTCTAACTACTTTAAAATTCTACTTAATTCAATTTTTGCTTAATGATTCGATCAGTATTATCTAAATAATTAAATTAAATTTCTTTTAATTAATCGAGAAACCAATTAAAAAATTACTTCAAAAATAACAAAAAGATAATAAAACAATCATACAATTTTGAATGAAAATAAGCACTTTTTTTGCAATTATTTTTACTCTTGCATCTAAGATTAGAGCTGAATGTTCAAGCGGACAAATATTTAATCTAGTTTCATAATAGTGTTTGCCATGCTCAAGCAGTTGCTAAGATTGTTTTAGCACTAGTTCAGATTCTTGCATAAGCTGTCCTCAGAATTATTATAAAAGTAATTTAAATTCTTCTACATGTGTTTAAAATTGCGAAGTTGGAGAAATATAAGCAGATAGCTAATATTGTATTAAATGCTAGATTGTAGGATGTATTAGATGTGATTCTAAATAAAACTGCTTACAATGCAGTCCTAATTTATACTTTGATAAGGAAAAGAATGAGTGTTCACTAAAACCAAAAATTTGTTAATCTGAATGGGATTTTATCTAAGAGCCTTTTACAGAATAATAATGTGTAAATAGTTGCCAAAGCTCTTACTTTCCAAATTAAAAAACATAAATATGCGAAAAAATTAGCTAATGTATACAAATTAACGACAGTCCTCCACTTCTCACTTAAAAAGTTCTTGAATTAAACTCATTTAATCAAGATTACTACCTCATTAGAGCAAATTAATGCTATTTTGCTCTTGTGGATTAAAATTTTTAGATAATATACATTGAAATATTTTAAGATATGCCAGACTTTTAGTTTAAATATATGTCTACTGGAGAGGAAAAAATTTAAAAGAGTTTTATTTTTGAAGAATATGGAGGCTGCTTAGCTAATAGTTCTATAAAAGTGATGAATTTTATCACAAAGCAAATTGTTTTTGAATAAACTGATTTAGATTATGATTACTATGTTTAATATATTGATTATTAAAATAGAATAGTCTTTCTTAATTAAATGAAAATTTGTTTAATAGCTTGGTATGATTTGATATAACAAAAATTGAATAAATTTCCATGCGATTTACTTCCTATTCAAGGTATTTTTTAAATCTATATTCTCAATAAAACAAATTATTACATATAGGTTTTTCCTGGTTCTTATTAGGTAAATAAAAAACTTTCTGATTTATTTTATAAAACTTTTTTAATTATTAATTTAGGTAGCTATTTTGTAAGAAGATAGATCTCTAAAATTTTTAGAAACCTAATTAGAATTTTCAGACTATTTGACTATTATGCAATCAACTTAGAAATATTAATATTTAATTAGCATTTTTTCTGATTATTATTAAAACCAAACATCAGCTTATAAGTAAGTATACCTAAATGATACTTATTTCTAAATCACGTTATTAGAAAAATTTGATTTACCAAATGATATATTTTACAGTAGTTTATTGAATTCAATTATCTAGCTTGATAAAATAAATCAGATATTATAAATATTTGTTTTAAATTAGGTATCAGAATAAGTGGAATAAGTACTAAATATAACTATTGCTAACTAGATAAATGATTATTCATTTTATGAAAACCAAGAATATAACTCTACTTTTGTTTTTTTGATTTCAGATAAACTATAATTTATATATTTGACTGATTATTTAATAAAACTTTAAAATGGTTATCAGTTTTAAAACGATACTTTAATCTAAGGATTAAAAAGCGGATTTATTACTAGCTAATCAACAATAACAAATGTTTTTTTCAAATAGAATAATATTATTGAAATATTTTTGTCATAAATTTTGGAAGTTAAAACTTTTAATTACTAATAGATTAGAATATCATTAAATACTACTGATTAAACTTATTTAACTAATTATTTAAATCCCAATGAATATTAAAAGCCTTATTATGATTTTAGTTAATTTTCTAGAGGAAATGTTTAATATTACTAAAATATTTTTAGCTCAAAAAAAAATACAGATATAAATTCATTTTATATTTATGATGAAAAATAAATATTAACTTCATAAGCTTTAGGAGTTTAAAAAATTTAATTTTCTATTTAAAATTTATAAAAAACTTCTATGATAACTACAAGGTTCTATTCATTTGAATTTGATGATAATATAGTCTATTTTGACAAATTATAAATAATAAATAATAAGTATTTTTTATTTAGCAAATAAATTGATTCAGTTATATAAGAATATGTGATTGACATTAATTCATAAAAGTAAATTATTTCTTATCAGTACGATTCTTCAAATTAAATTGGTGTTTTTTAATATTTGGAGAAAAGAAATTTACTGATAATCTAAAGTATACCTTAAATTTTTAGTTTAGATACACATTAACAAATAATTCAAAATCCCTCAGAATATTATTTTTCTCTTTAGAATTTCGTTATTTTAAATGATGATTAAATAGCTTACTTGACTTTAAATCAATTAGATGAGACAATTCTTTATTTAATAGACTTTTTAACAAATAATATATCAGAAATTTATAATTTTGGTACAAATTATTAACCCAATTTTTATTATGTTAATAATTTTTACACTCCTTTAGTTGCTTTTAATGATATTATTTATTTTTACATTTTTGATAATGACTGCTAGCCTTTTTCTATCAGCTAAAAAAAATTTATCAACAAATCTATAACTGTGTAATTCTCTGTAATAGCCAATCCTTACTTTAATTACTAAAAAACAGGAGAAATCTTTATATTTTACTAATCTCTAATTTAAGTTTATAGCTTTGATTTATCTCGAAAAGAACAGTACAATTTCGGTATAAATTATCCAGAAGCAATGAATGGTTAATAGATTCAAGTTTTTAATGACAGATATGTTTTTTATTATGATCAAAGCTATTTTTATAGATTCGACATGGAATTAAAACAATTTACAATAATAGATGCTAAAACTGATACCTCCTTGTATGGAAAAAGAGCAATTTAGTTTTATTATTTAGATGAGAATTTGTAATATATCAAAAAGTCTGATAATATAATAGATACAAGTAATATGGTTATTATTATGAGTCAACTAGAAGATTGCTCTCTATTAGGGAGTATAAATAATGATGATAATACTAAAATTCATAGTTTTTTATCTTAAGATGGAGTTTTTTGGATTAATAATTTATTCAACAATCCATTTAGCATATATAATTTCACATAAAATTATGTAATTCAAGACATTAATTTACAAAATAATAAAATTGCAGTCTATGATAATTCCACATAAAATTTAATCATTTACGATGTTATTAAAGCTAATAATGAATTAGTTGTAATAAAGTTAAATTTTATATTTGATCTCTCAATAGTTATTGTTGATTGGAATTAAGTATCATTCATATGGGTACAAGAAAATGTCCTTTATCTATAAAACACATAAAATTAATCACAGACATCTATAATTAAAAAATTAGAATCTAATGTTATTAAGTACTTATACTGTTAAAATTAGTAAACTTTAGTGGCTCTCACTTCTAATAAAATAATTTATTCAATAAATGTAATTCAACTTATAATTTTAATTACTTTAAAAAATTTTTAATTAAAATAGGTCTTGACAAAGATATATAAATTGGTTGAATATAGCTTCTAAGAATATTATCCAAGCTTTTTTGTTCAGTGTGAAGATAATTAGATAATATTTTACTATCCATTTGTTGAAATTTTTGATTTAATTTCAGGATAAAGATCAGAATACTTTTATTAAAATGTAAATTTATAAATTTCCTTTTTTTAAACTAATTTAGAATAAATTACATTTAATTTATGAAAAATTTGAAATTAGAAAATAAATTCAAAGAATAATAAAAAAATAACTTAATATAAAATTTTTAAAGAAATAAAACAAATTATATTTTTAATTACAATTTTTATTTAAAATTCTAAAATTCATTTAATATTTTGAGCTTTAAAAATTAAACATATTTTAATAATTTGAATTGAAAATTTTTTTATTAGAAATATAATGACAAATAAAATATTTTTTTCATAAACTTTACTATTATTTAAAGATATATATATTAGGAATGATGTAAAATGTTTAGTAAACTATACCTTTGATAAGTAAGCAAGACTAGTTAGTAGTAGTTTTTTTTAGCTAAAATGTCAATTTTTTTAGCAAATAGGACTTTCAAATTTAAAATTATTTGTTTGAGTATAGATATAATAATACTAGCTTATTCTATGATGGCAATCATAAAATATTGATTGGACTAACAGGATCATTAAAATAAGTAAACATTATTAATATTCCAGGAAATTTATAATTATTCCTTTATCAATGTGTCGCATAATTTGCTGAAAATGCAGTTTATTATCATTAAGAATAGACTAGCTTGATAGTAGTTGATAGCAGTCCAACTATTTATCTTTTTAATTATTTAACCCTTAATGTTACAAGTTTTAGAATTGATGTAAATAACATCCAAGGCATTTTGATGGATAAAAACAAGAATATAGCTTTTTTATATTCAAATTAATTTATATTAACATTTTAATTTCCTAGTATGTAATTTATAGAAACAATATCTTTATAAAACTATAATGCTACTTCTATAGTATAAGTTTATCTAAATACACAGTAGTCGTTGATTATCGTTTAGACTTACACATATATAATTGCTTTTGATCTGACAGAAATTCTTTATGCTAGCCCTACTAAATTGCTTTAATACTAAAAAGTATAACATTTAAATATCAAGAATGAATTCTTTGTAAGTTATAGTATTCTAAATCTCTCCCTAAATTTGTATTAAAATTCTTAACTCGTTAATAGTTTATTATTTGAGCCTTCATAATAAAGCATATACCCTTATTTTACATAGCTACTCTTGACCTAAGATTGCTAATTTTTATTTATTTAATTATAATATATTAACATAGTTTAAGCTGATTTATAATAAAAAAAACTGAATTTGTTTAAAAGAATAAAATTAATTAGTCTACCTGACAATTATTTCTATGACAATGTTGATAATTAAATATTTTTACTTTATTAGTAAAACTATTAGCTTAGCAAAATCAATTTAAATGATAAATATATAACTGAAATAAATTTGATTAATTTTACAGAGGGAGATATTTCTATGTCTCTTATATGCAGTTAATTTATAGTTCTTCCTTCATCAAATTTCCTTTAAATTTATGATATAAACTATCAAAAAATAGATTTAATCAAATTTTCAAATATTGCTGTAATTAAATTTGCTTTCAAATTGTAAATAAAATAATTTTAATCTTATTTAAACAATTGGTGGAATATTCCTTTTGATTATGAAGAAAGGATTAACAGTAGTGATCCTTAATAAGATAACTAAAAGCTTTTTTGTTTAATTGTATAAGATGGTAATAATATTATGGCATACATAATTAATCTTTAAACAAAATAAATTTTATATTCATATTAATTATCCAAGTACTCTAGAGTTACAAATATAGTAAGCGATCCCTTTAGGCAGCTAATATATGTAGTTAACAATTAAAGTTTAACTTTAGTATTCTCTTATAAGTTAAATTTAATTACAACCCTCTAGAATGCTTGTCTAAAATAAGCTAAAATTTCATATGACTCAGATTTTGTATATTCTATTTGCCCAAATGATATCATAATTTATAATGGTTTAAGTTTTTAACAATAATTTCCTATTATTGATAAAGGAATAAAAGAAGTTGATAATTTTATTAGCACAAAATATAACAACTATTTTATTATTATATAAAAAAATAAACTTTCTCTCATAAAAATGGATTATCTATCTGATTTCCAGCTTGTTTTTGAAGTCAACAAAACTTACTAATAGCTATTAAATATGAAAATCACTAGAGACTAAAACTATTAAACTTATATAGAACTTTTACTTTCCTCTTATGATAATGTATAGCATTAAATAGTGCCTTTGCAATAAAATTAAAATTGCTATATAAACATACAACAGTAAAATAGACCAATAGAAAATATTTACACAATCATATAATTATTTTAAAATTTTTAATCAATACAAAGCTTTAATCAATAACTATCATTAATACAAATTAATTACTAAGATTAATAATGCATTTAAGGTATAAGTGACAATTTATATAATATCTAAAATATTGATTCTAATACCTAAATTAGTTTGATTATTTAATCTTAATCTCAAAAAGATAATATTTGTTGGTTATATTAGGATAGCAACAGTTACCCATCTTATATAGAAAACTTTTATCTTAAAAACATGAATTTAACTATATAAAATACAATAGTACTTAACTAGAAAAAATAAATGAAAAACTTTTAAATGTTTAATATGACTTTAAATATTGAGAGCTCACTTACTTTATCTGATTTTGATAAAGTTCTTTTTTAAAATATCAAATTTAACAATAACAGAGAAGGTCAGAATTAAATAATAATTCAAAACTGTAAATTAGTTATAATCGAGTAAGTAGAAATAATTGATTTTGTATCATAATAGATAATATTTACTTTAACAAATAATAGCAATGTTATAATTTAAAATATAAACATCTCTAAAATGAATGGAAATACTATATTTTAAATGAATAACAATTAACAAGTAGTAATAACTGATATTAAAATACAAAACTCTAGCTACATAAATGTATTTCAAATATCTCTATCAAATTTTTTTAATGTGACAAATTTAATAATATAGACAGTATTATTTTCTTAGGTTATAAACATATAAGGAGTCACAATTTCTTAGATTTAACACATAAAGGTTGATAATTGTTATTAACTACAATTGATATAATTATAACCAATTAAATTAGACAATTTATAATATTTATCTAAATACTATATTTTGTAAGATTTGAACTTGCAAAATTCTACTGATATTTCACTTGTTACTCAGTCTGAATAAATACAAATATCTGATATAATTATTTAAAAGTTAAATACCTCTATAAACTGCTTCACTCTTAATGCATTATAATTATCTGTATAAAACTTTACTATTGAAAATTCAATAGTATATTTAAGTTAGCCTTCTATAATATTTATACTTAGCTATATAGATTGTGATATTCAAAATATAAATTCATCTAATAATTAAATAACAATTTTAAAAATTAAATAGTAAGATTAAATTGGTAAAACATTAATCCATTCTTCTTCATTTATAGATTTTACATTATAAAATCCTGTAATGGAATTTATAAACATAGATGTGTTAATATTAGATAATATTTAAGTATAAAATATTTTATTTTATGATAATATGCATTCTTCAATAATAATTATAGATTAATGTAATGATATTACTATAAATAACAGTCATTTTATAAATAACACAAATACCATTGGTACTGGAGGATCTATTTATGCTACTGATAATTAATCTATTTAAATAAAAAATACAGTTTTTAAGCTAAATCAATGCTAATCATAAAATGGAGGAGCTTTAAGTATAAAGAATAATATTGAAATGGCTACTCTAACTATATAAAAGAGCGCTTTTATAGATAATTAGGCTCAATTTTCTACAGGTGGAGCTATTAATTTGGTGAATTCCAATTTGGTGATGAAAAATTCTGTAGTTTCTTCAAATAAGGCCTTAATTGGAGGTGGAATCTATTATTAATAAATAATTCCTGATTTTGTATTAGATTTGATGAAGAAAATCTATAATAATAATATCTTCACTTAAAATTTTGCAAAGCTATATGGAAATAATTTAGGATCTACATTGAGAAGTATTAAGATTAATTTAAAGGATATAGAAACATCAAGGAAAACATAAATAATAGAAAATTAAAATAATTAAATTTATATCAATTAATTTTTAAGTGGAGACGAAATAAATTTTAATAAAATTTAATTGCTTGATGAGGAAGATAATCCAATCTTTATACCTAATGATGGTAATTATACTAACACTTAATAATACAGTAATGACGTTTAATCAATATTGTAGTAAATCAGCGTTTCTTTGTAATGGGACTAATCTACATAGTAAATATAGTGCCTTGGAGAACTTTAATCAAAGTAATTTACAAATGATGGATTTAAATTGAATGCATAAATTATGTATAAACCAAATAATTAAATGATCTTACAAGTTGTTTCCAATTTATTTCCAAAATTTTCTGATTCAAAAGGAAATGTATACTTAAAGCAGTACTAACTATATAAAAATATCACTATTAGTTTTAATAGTTGTTAATTGGGTTAAATTACTAAGCAGCAAAGCAACTCAATAGTTTGTGAGGATTGCCCTGAAGGAAAGTATTCCCTAAATTTATTAGATACTTCTTGTTTATAGTGTCCTGATTCCGCTATTAAATGCTACTAGTCAACAATTCTTTTAAAAAATGGGTATTGGAGAGAAAACGAATAGACAGATCAAATAATATATTGTAATTTTCATCCTAATTCATGCTAAGCTGAGTCAAAATTATCTAAAGTAAATATTATTATTTATTTTAATTAAAGTGATAGATAAAGATAGAGTCCATTTCAAAATAAATTTAACGAAAATTTAGGGAGAAAAAGAATCTTTTTAAATTTCATCACTTCCAAAATTTGGAAAAAATTTTAATTAAAATATATTCACATACTCTGAAAAATTTAATCATTATTTTTAAACTATAAAGAATTTTTTTAAAATAAATTTAATTTATTATTTTTTTAAGGAATATTGTATAGCTGGATATAAAGGTCCTCTTTGCTACTCGTGCGATACTTATGGAGAAAAATGGGGTAAAAGGTATCAATAAATATTTAGTTAGGGAGAATGCTTCAGTTGTGAGGGAAATAGCTATATCATAATTATATAAAATTTAGTTTTATTCATTATCATCTTTTACTATATATTTGCCCTTTTAAGAAATATAATCAATAAATAACAAGCTAAGTTAGCAGGCTACTTTATCACTAAAATGGATTTAGTCTATCTAGGGTCAACATGTATTTTATTAGCTTAAATTTAGAAATAATTTATCAAATAATATTTTTAAATTAAATATAGTTTGAATTTTAATTTAATTTTTATTATTTTTTAATTAAATAAAATGTATAATATTATATAGTAAGATAATAAGATAAGCCTTAGATAATTTCCAAAATTTTAACTGACCACCTTCATATTCTCTCCTTGTTAAGCTTTTTTAACTTTAATATTCCTAACTATTTTAAGATTCCAATTTAGGTATCAGGAAATTCTATGAGCTTAACAAGCAAGTCTATTGATTGCTTTTTTTCAAGATATCCAAATCTAAAACCTTTATGGTTTTATTAGTCCTTGTGGTCGTTATGTTTACCACTTTCTGTACTCTCGCTTTATTTAATATTAGGTTTTATTTTAAGATATTTAAAAAAAAATACAAACATTTTTAAATACTTAAATACTGCATGTATCTTCATTTATCTTTATTTTTATCCGATGATTATTATGCTATTTAGCAGGTCATTGAATTGCCTATAAATTGGTAATAAAAGCTATCTTGATTTAGATGTAAATATATTATGCTACGACCCTTAATATCATAAACCATATGTTATATTCTACTGTATACCATTACTAGTTTTTTGGGCAATTATTGTTCCACTATTTTTATTCTTAAAAATTAGAAATGGAAAAATGAAAAAATGGTCAATCTTTATTGAAATAAAGTATTCTTTTATATTTGCTGGATATAAAGAAAAGTATTATTATTGGGAATTTGCTAAATTATTTTATAAATCAATTCTAATTTTGGTAGCGACATTACTTCAACAGAATCCTTTCTTAAAAGTAAGTTAGTTATTAATTATTTTAAAAAATAAATACCAATCAATTTAAATTAAATTTATTACCTATTTGGTATATAAAATGAATAAATATACTTATCAAACTTTAAAATTAAAATAGTTTAGTATGCTAAATGCTTTAATTTTATTGCAGATTTATATAACATTTAAGACTAAGCCTTTTGCCATTTAGAATTTCAACAATTTATTATAAAGATCAGCAATTTTATGTGCTTTATCACTAAATTTAACTCAGATTATTGCCAATGTTGGAAACATGCATTTTGTTTTAGAAGCTATATTAATTACTTTATTAATTTTTCCTAATCTTCAATTTATAACTTAATTGGTGATTGGAATATGTCTAGTTACTATACAAAATGATAGATAAAAAAGAAGTAGAATGTAAAATTGCCTCTTATATTTTATATAAAAATTTCCTTCATTATTTGAAAACATTCAAGTTTAATAAGGCTAAATAAAAGTAAGTTCTCTATTGAAAATAAAGTTATTCAAAAATAAAGTTAAACATTTAATTGAGTACTTTAAACAACATAGCTTCTTCAATTAAGAATCTTTGCAAGAGCATTTTCATCTCTAAAGAAATCAAATCCTTTCTCCTAAATTAGAAAAATAGTAGTAAACCAATAGATTTACTTTGCTATCTGGGAGTGAAACTATCATTGGATAGCATAAAAAGGTAAATTCTCTCAAGAGTATGAGAGAGAAATGGACATACTATACAAGAAAAACAAAAGAAAGTCCAATAAGTAAATTAACTACAACTTAAAGTATTAAATAATTTCCATTTTATATTTAAAAGGTATACCTTAATTTGATAGTTAAGATATAATCTAGAATACACAAAAAGAAATAGCTCTTACTGAAACTGGAAATTTGTAAACTTATACTTGTAATGATGAATTTGGAATATAATTAACAAGTGATCATAAATTAAATAAAAATATTAAGTAGTATTTGTCCATAAAATAATGATAAAATTAATCTACTCTCTTAATTATAAATTATTATAAATAAAATAATGAGATAATTATAATTTTTGTATTTTATCATGTGAAATAAATTTAATCATTTAAAATTTGAACTTCTTTAAAAATATAATTGAAAAATTAATTTACCTTAGAAAAGATTAGAATTTCAAAAAAATTTACAAAATATGTTGTTATTGAAGAAAGTTTTTTATCCCTACAAACCCCCTTAAATCCTCAATTAAAAATTAAGGTAGAATTAAGTTTATTTGCAGTTAATCCTATTTTATAAAATTATAAAACCTTTTATCTTATTACATTTAAGTAATCGATTTATCAATTCTTTTTAATTTATTATAAAAGTTATCTTGAAATGAAATAATAAACTTAGGAAATATTTTAAAAACAGATTTAAAAAATAATTAAGTAGATTTGAATAAAATTCTTATTTTAAAATAAATCTGTTAAGAAAGTAATTCATTTAAAAATATAAAGAAACCAAAATATTTAAAAGAAAATATTTTTTAAAAATAATTATATTTATTTTAGTTTTTTTCAGAAAGTTTTTATCATCAAAGTTAGCCAATATAATTAAGTTGTCATTATATAAATGAATTATTATTAAGATCAATTAATCTTTTTTCATTTAGAAAAAATAATTAAGAAGTTTTAATGATAAAAAACACAAATATCAATTCTAACTACTTTTAAATTCTACTGAATACAAAATTTGTTAATAATACGATTATCTTAATTATTTAAATGTAAATTTCTTTAAATTAATCAGAAATCAATTCAAAAATAACAAAAAGATAATAAAACGGTCATACAATTTTGAATGAAAATAAGCAGTTTTTTTGCAATTATTTTTACTCTTGCATCTAAGATTAGAGCTGAATGTTCAAGCGGATAAATATTTAATCTAGTTTCATAATAGTGTTTCCCATGCTCAAGCAGCTGCTAAGATTGTTTTAGTACTAGTTCAGACTCGTGCATAAGCTGCCCTCTTAATTTTTATAAAAGTAATTTAAATTCTTCTACATGCGTTTAAAACTGCGAAGTTGGAGAAATATAAGCAGATAACTAATATTGTATTAAATGCTAGATTGTAGGATGTATTAAATGTGATTCTAAATAAAATTGCTTACAATGCAGTCCTAATTTATACTTTGATAAGGATAAGAATGAGTGTTCATTAAAACCAAAAATTTGTTAATCTGAATGGGATTTTATCTAAGAGCCTTTTACAGAATAATAGTGTATAAATAGTTGCCCAAGCTCTTACTATCCAAATTAAAAAACATAAATATGCGAAAAAATTAGCTAATGTATTCAAATTAACGAGAGTCCTCCATTACTCACTGAAAAAGTTTTTGAATTAAACTAATTTAATCAAGATTACTACCTCATTAGAGCAAATTCATGTTATTTTGCTCTTGTGGATTAAAATTTTTAGATAATTTACATAGAAATATTTTAAGATATGCCAGACTTTTAGTATAAATATATGTCTACTGGAGAGGAAAAAGTATAAAAGAGTTTTATTTTGGAAGAATATGGAGGCTGCTTAGCTAATAGTACTATAAAAGTGATGAATTTTATCACAAAGCAAATTGTTTTTGAATAAACTGATTTAGATTAGGACTACTATGTTTAATATATTGATTATTAAAATAGAATAGTCTTTCTTAATTAGAATAATTTTTGTTCAATAATTTGGTATGATTTGATACAATAAAAATTAAATACATTTCCATGTGACTAAATTCCTATCCAAGGTATTTTTTAAATCTATATTCTCAATAAAACAAACTATTACATATAGATTTTTGCTGGTTCTTATTAGGTAAATAAAAATTTTCTGATTTATTATATAAAACTTTATTATTAATTTAGGTAGCAATTTTATAAGAAGATAGATCTCTAAAATTTTTAGAAACCTAATTAGAATTTTCAGACAATTTAACTATTATGTAATCAACTTAGATGTATTAATATTTAATTAGCATCTTTTCTGATTATTTGGAAGGACAAACATCAGTTTATAAGCAAGTATACTTAAATGATACTAATTTCTAAATCACATTATTAGAAAAATTTGCTATAACAAATGATATATTTTACAGTAGTTTATTGAATTCAATTATCTAGCTTGATAAAATAAATAATGTAATATAAATATTTGATTTAAACTAGGTGTCAGATTAAGTGGAATAAGTACTAAATATAACTATTGCTAACTAGATAAATGATTATTCATTTTATGAAAACCAAGAATATAACTCTACTTTTATTTTTTTTATTTCAGATAAACTATAATTTATCAATTTAACTGACTATTTAATAAAACTTTAAAATGGCTTCCAGGGTTAAAACGATACACTAATCTATGGATTAGAAAGCGGATTTATTACAAGCTAATCAACAATAACAAATGTTTTTTTCAAATAGAATAATATTTTTGAAATATTTTTGTCATAGATTTTGGAAGTTTAAACTTATAATTACTAATAGATTAGAATATCATTAAATTCTACTGATTAAACTTATTTAACTAATTATTTAAATCCTAATGAATATTAAAAGCCTTATTATGATTTTAGTTAATTTTCTACAATAAATGTTTGCTAATACTAAAATATGTTTAGTTCAAATAAAAAAACAGATATAAATTCATTTTATATTTATGATGAAAATTAAATATTAACTTCATAAGCTTTAGGAGTTTAAAAAATTTAATTTTCTATTTAAAATTTATAGAAAACTTCTATGATAACTACGAAGTTCTATTCATTTGAATTAGCTGATAATATAGTGTATTTTGACAAATTATAAATAATAAATAATAAGTATTTTTTATTTAGCAAATAAATTGATTCATTTATATAAGAATATGTGATTGACATTAACTCATAAAAGCAAATTATTTCTTATAAATACGATTCTTCAAATTAAATTGGTGTTTTTTAATATTTGGAGAAAAGAAATTTACTAATAATATAAAGTATACCATAAATTTTTAGTTTAGATACTCATTAATAAGTAATTCAAAATCCATCAGCATACTATTTTTCTCTTTAGAATTACGCAATTTTAAATGATGATGAAATAGCTTACTTGACTTTAAATCAATTAGATGAGACGATTCTTTATTTAATAGATTTTTTAACAAACAATATATCAGAAATTTATAATTTTGGTACAAATTATTAACCCAATTTTTATTATGTTAACAATTTTTACACTCCTTTAGTTGCTTTTAATGATATTATTTATTTTTACATTTTTGATAATGACTGCTAGCCTTTTTCTATCAGCTAAAAAAAATTTGTCTACAAATCTATAACTCTGTAATTCGCTGTAATAGCATAACCTTACTTTAATTACTAAAAAACAGGAGAAATCTTCATATTTTACTAGTCTTATATTTATGTTTATAGCTTTGATTTATCTAGTAACTAACTGTATAATTTCGGTATAAATTATCCATAAGCAATTGATGGTTATACAATTCAAGTTTTTAATGACAGATATGTTTTTTATTATGATCAAAGCTATTTTTATAGATTCGACATGGAATTAAAGCAATTTACAATAATTAATGCTAAAACTGATGTCAATTTGTACGGAAAATAAACTATTTACTTTTATTTTTTAGATGATAATTTGTAATATATCAAAAAGTCTGATAATATAGTAGATACAAATAATATGGTTATTATTATGAGTCAACTAGAAGATTGCTCTCTATTAGGGAGTATAAATAATGATGATAATACTAAAATTCATAGTTTCTTATCTTAAGATGGAGTTTTTTGGATTAATAATTTATTCAACAATCCATTTAGCATATATAATTTCACATAAAATTATGTAATTCAAGACATAAATTTACAAAATAATAAAATTGCAGTCTATGATAATTCCACATAAAATTTAATCATTTACGATGTTATTAAAACTAATAATGAATTAGTTGTAATAAAGTTAAATTTTATATTTGATCTCTCAATAGTTATTGTTGATTGGAATTTAGTATAATTCATATGGGTACAAGAAAATGTCTTTTATCTATAAAACACATAAAACTTGTCACAGACATCAATAATTATAAAATTAGAATCTAATGTTGTTAAGTACTTATACTGTTAAAATTAGTAAACTTTAGTGGCTCTTACTTCTAATAAATTGATTTATTCAATAAACGTAATTCAACTTATAATATTTTAATTATTTTTAAAGATTATAAATTAAAATAGATCTTTACAAAGACATTTAAATTAATAGAATACCGCTTCTAGCAATATTATCCAAGCTTTTTTGTTCAGTGTGAAGATAGTTAAATAATATTTTACTATCCATTTGTTGAAATATTTGATTTTATTTCAGCATAAAGATCAGGATACTTTGAATAAAATGTAAATAAATATATAAATATCCATTTTTTTTAAACTAAATTAGAATAATTTACATTCAGTTTATTTAAAATTTTAAATTATCGAATTTAAAGAAAAATTTTAATAAATTTTTTTATTGAAAAAATTAAAGAAAAATTTAAACATATTTAAAATTAAAAATTTTTCTTTGAAAAAAATAAAAAATAAAAGCTATTTTTAATAAATTTTACTTTAAAGTTGTATAAATTAGGAATGATGTAAAATGTTTAGTAAACTATACCTTTGGTAAGTAAGCAAGATTAGTTAGTGGTAGTTTTTTTTAGCTAAAATAACAATTTGTTTAATCAAAAGGAATTTCAAAGTTTTCACTATTTGTTTGAGTATAGATATAATAATACTAGTTTATTCTATGATGGAAATCATAAAATACTGATTGGACTAACAGGGTCATTAAAATAAGTAAATTTTATTAATATTCCAGGAAATTAATAATTATTCCTTTATGAGTGTGTAGCATAATTTGCTAAAAATGCAGTTTATTATTATTAAGAATAAACTAGCTTGATAGTTGTTGATAGCAGTCCAACTATTTATCTTTTTAATTATTTAACTCTGAATGTAACAAACTTTAGAATTGATGTAAATAACATCCAAGGTATTTTGATGGATAAAAACAAGAATATAGCTTTTTTTTATTCAAATTAATTTATATTAACGTTTTAATTTCCTAGTATGTAATTTATAGAAACAATATCTTTATAAAACTATAATGCTACTTCTATTGTATAAGTTTATCTAAATACGAAATAGTCGTTGATTATCGTTTAGACTTATACATATATAATTGCTTTTGATCTGACAGAAATTCTTTATGCTAGCCCTACTAAATTGCTTTAATACTAAAAAGTATAACATTTAAATATCAATTAGGAATTCTTTGTAAGTTATAGTATTGTAAATCTCTCGCTAAATTTGTATTAAAATTCTTAACTCGTTGATAGCTTAATATTTGAGCCTTCAAAATAAAACATTTACCCTTATTTTACATAGCTGCTCATTATCTAGGATTACTAATTTTTATTTATTTAATTCTAATATATTAACATTGTTTAAGCTGATTTATAATAAAAAAAGTTGATTTTGTTACAAAAAGTAAAATTAATTAGTCTACCTGACAATTATTTCTATGACAATGTTAATAATTAAATATTTTTATTATATTAGTAGAATTATTAAATAAGTAAAATCAATTTAAATAATTTAAATGATAAAAATGTAACTGAAATAAATTTGGATAATTTTACTGAGGGAGATATTTCTATGTCTCTTATATGCAGTTAATTTATAGTTCTTCCTTCATCAAATTTCCTTTAAATTTATGATATAAACTATCAAAAAATCGATTTAATCAAATTTTCAAGTATTTCTACAATTAAATTTGCTTTCAAATTACAAATAAAATAATTTTAGTCTTATTAAAACAATTGGTGGAATATTCCTTTTGATTATGAAGAAAGGATTAACAGTAATGATCCTTAATAAGACAACTAAAAGCTTATCTGTTTAATTGTTTAAGAAGGAAATAATATTATAACATACATAGTTAATCTTTAAAATAAATAAATTTTGTATTCATATTAATTATCCAAGTAATCTAGAGTTACAAATATAGTAAGTGATCCCTTTAGGCAGCTAATATATCTAGTTAACAATTAAAGTTTAACTTTGGTATTTTCGTATAAGTTAAATTTAATTACAACCCTCTAGAATGCTTGTCTAAAATAAGCTAAAATTTCATATGACTCAGATTTTGTATATTCGATTTGCCCAAATGATATCATAATTTATAATGGTTTAAGTTTTTAACTATAATTTCCTATTATTGATAAAGGAATAAAAGAAGTTGATAATTTTATTAGCACAAAATATAACAACTATTTTATTATTATATAAAAAAATAAACTTTCTCTCATAAAAATGGATTATCTATCTGATTTCCAGCTTGTTTTTGAAGTCAATAAAACTTACTAATAGCTATTAAATATGAAAATCACTAGAGACTAAAACTATTAAACTTATATAGAACTTTTACTTTCCTCTTATGATAATGTATAGCATTAAATAGTGCCTTTGCAATAAAATTAAAATTGCTATATAAACATACAACAGTAAAATAGACCAATAGAAAATATTTACACAATCATCTAATTATTTTAAAATTTTTAATCAATACAAAGCTTTAATCAATAACTATCACTAATACAAATTAATTACTAAGATTAATAATGCATTTAAGGTATAAGTGAGAATTTATATAATCTCTAAAATATTGATTCGAATACCTAAATTAGTTTGATTATTTAATCTTAATCTCAAAAAGAAAATATTTGTTGGCTATATTAGGATAGTAACAGTTACCCATCTTATATAGAAAGCTTTTATCTTAAAAACATGAATTTAACTATATAAAATACAATAGAACTTAACTTGAAAAAATAAATGAAAAACTTTTAAATGTTGAACATGACTTTAAATATTGAGAGCTCACTTACTTTATCTGATTTTGATAAAGTTCTTTTTTAAAATATCAAATTCGACAATAACAGAGAAGGTCAGAATTAAATAATAATTCAAAACTGTAAATTAGTTGTAATCGAGTAAGTAGATTTAATTGATTTATTATCGCAATAGACAATATTTACTTTAATTAACAATAGCAATGTTATAATTTAAAATATAAACATCTCTAAGGTGAATGGAAATACTATATTTTAAATGAATAACAATTAACAAGTAGTAATAACTGATATTAAAATACAAAACTCTAGCTACATAAATGTATTTCAAATATCTTTATCAAATTATTTTAATGTGACAAATTTAATAATATAGTCAGTATTATTTTCTTAAGTTTTAAACATATAAGGAGCCACAATTTCTTAGATTTAACACATAGAGGTTGATAATTGTTATTAACTATAATTGATATAATTATAACCTATTAAGTTAGACAATTTATAATATTTATCTAAATATTATTTGTTATAGGATTTGAACTTGCAAAATTCTACTGATATTTCACTTGTTACTCAGTCTGAATAAATACAAATCTCTGATATAATTATTTAAAAGTTAAATACCTCTATAAACTGCTTCACTCTTAATGCATTATAGTTATCTGTAAACAATTTTACTATTGAAAATTCAATAGTATATTTAAGTTAGCCTTCTGTAATATTTATACTTAGCTATACAGATTGTGATATTCAAAATATAAATTCATCTAATAATTAAATAACAATTTTAAAAATTAATTAACAAAATTTAATTGGTAAAACATAAATCCATTCTTCTTCATTTATTGATTTTACATTATAAAATCCTGTAATGGAGTTTATAAACATAGACCTCTTAATTTTAAATAAAATTTAAGTCAAAAATATTTTATTTTATGATAATATGCATTCTTCAATAATTATTATAGATTAATGTAATAATATTACTATAAATAATAGTTATTTTATAAATAATACAAATATAATTGGTAATGGAGGATCTATTTATGCTACTGATAATTAATTCATTTAAATAAAAAATACAGTTTTTAAGCTAAATCAATGCTAATCATAAAATGGAGGAGCTTTAAGTATAAAGAATAATATTGAAATGGCTAGTCTAACTATATAAATGAGCACTTTTATAGATAATTAGGCTCAATTTTCTACAGGTGGAGCTATTAATTTGGTGAATTCCAATTTGGTGATGGAAAATTCTGTAGTTTCTTCAAATAAGGCTTTAATTGGAGGTGGAATCTATTATTAATAAATAATTCCTGATTTTGTATTAGATTTGATGAAGAAAATCAATAATAATAATATCATCTCTTAAAATTTTGCAAAGCTATATGGAAATAATTTAGGATCTACATTGAGAAGTATTAAGATTAATATAAAGGATATAGAAACATCAAGGAAAACATAAATAATAGAAAATTAAAATAATTAAATTTATGTCAATTCATTTTTAAGTGGAGACTAAATAATTTTTAATAAAATTTAATTACTTGATGAAGAGGACCATCCAATCTTTATACCTAGTAATGCTAATTATACTAGCACTTAATAATACAGTAATGATGTTTAATTAATATTGTAGTAAATTAGCGTTTCTCTGTAGTGGGACTAATCTACATAGTAAATATAGTGTCTTGGAGAGCTGTAATCAAAGTAATTTACAAACAATGGATTTAAACTGAATGCATAAATTATTTTTAAACCAAATAATTAAATGATCTTACAAGTTGTTTCCAATTTATTTCCAAAATTTTCTGATTCAAAAGGGAATGTATACTTAAAGCAGTACTAACTATATAAAAATATCACTATTAGTTTTAATAGTTGTTAATTGGGTTAAATTACTAAGCAGCAAAGCAACTCAATAGTTTGTGAGGATTGCCCTGAAGGAAAGTATTCTCTAAATTTGCTAGATAATTCTTGCTTACAGTGTCCTGATTCAGCTATTAAATGCTATCAGTCAACAATTCTTTTAAAAAATGGGTATTGGAGAGAAAATGAATTTACAGATTAAATATTATATTGTAATTTTAATCCTAATTCATGCTAAGCTGAATCATAGTTATCTAAAGTAAGTATTATTATTTACTTAAATTTAAGCAGCTGATAAGGACTATTATCCATTTCAGTCTAACATTTACTAAACAGAGGGAGAAAGAGAATCTATTTAGATTTAATCACTTCTAAAATTTGAAAAGAATTTTAATTAAAATATATTCACAAACTCTGAAAAATTTAATCATTATTTTTAAACTATTAAGAATTTTTAAAAAATAAATTAAAAAATTTTTTTTTTTAAAAAGAAATATTGTATAACTGGATATAAAGGTCCTCTTTGCTACTCGTGTGATACCTATGGAGAAATATGGGGTAAAAGATATCAATAAATATTTAGCTAGGGAGAATGCTACAGTTGTGAGGAAAATAGCTTTATCATTATTACATAAAATTTAATTTTATTCATAATCATCTTTTACTATATATTTGCCCTTTTAAGAAATATAATTAATAAATAGCAAGCTAAGTTAGCAGGCTACTTTATCACAAAAATGGATTTAGTCTATTTAGGGTCAACATGTATTTTATTAGCTTAAATTTAGAAATAATTAATGAAATAATCTTTTTTAAATTAAAAAAAGATTTAATTTTAATTTGATTTATTTTTTTTAAATTAAATATTGTATTAAAAGTTATTAATTTAATAATAATATAGTAAGATAATAAGATAAACCTTAAATTATATCTAAAATTTTAACTGATCACCTTCAGATTCTATCTTTGTTGAGCTTTTTTAATTTTAATATTCCTAACTATTTTAAGATTCCAATTTAGGTATCAGGAAATTCTTTGAGCTTAACAAGCAAATCAATCGATTGCTTTTTTTCAAGATATCCAAATTTAAAACCTTTATGGTTTTATTAGTCTTTATGGTCGCTATGTTTACCGCTTTCTGTACTCTTACTTTATTTAATATTAGGCTTTGTTTTAAGGTAATTTAAAAGAAATACAAACATTTTTAAATACTTAAATACTGCATGTATCTTCATTTATCTTTATTTTTATCCTATGGTGATTATGTTATTAAGCAGATCTTTGAATTGTCTACAAATTGGTGATAAAAGTTATCTTGATTTAGATGTAAATATATTATGCTATGATCCTTAATATCATAAACCGTATGTTATATTCTACTGCATACCATTACTAGTTTTTTGGGCAGTTATTGCTCCACTATTTTTATTCTTAAAAATTAGAAATGGAAAAATGAAAAAATGGTCAATCTTTATTGAAATAAAGTATTCTTTTATATTTGCAGGATATAAAGAAAAGTATTATTATTGGGAATTTGCTAAATTAATTTATAAATCTATTCTAATTTTGGTAGCGACTTTACTTCAACAGAATTCTTTCTTAAAAGTAAGTTATTAATTGCTTTAAAAAATAAATACAAATCAATTTAAATTAGATTTAATACCTCTTTTTATTTACAAAACGAATAAATATACTCATCAAACTTTAAAATAAAAATAGTTGAGCATGCTAAATGCTGTTATCTTATTCTAGATTTATATAATATTTAAGACTAAGCCTTTTGCAATTTAGAATTTCAACAATTTATTATCAAAATCAGCAATTTTATGTGCTTCATCCCTAAATTTAACTTAGATTATTGCGAATGTTCCAAATATGCATTTTGTATTAGAAGCTATTTTAATTGCATTATTAATTTTTTCTAATCTTTAATTTATAACTTAATTGGTGATTGGAATATGTCTAGTTACTATATAAAATAACAAATAAAAAAGAAGTAGAATCTAAAATTGTTTCCTATATTTTGTATCAAAATATCCTTCATTATTTGAAAACATTCAGATTTAATAAAGCTAAATTAAAGTAAGCTCTCTTTTGAAAATAAAATTAGTCAAAAATAAAGTTAAACATTTAGTTGAATACTTTAAACAATATAGCTTCTTCAATTAAGAATCTTTATAATAGCATTTTCATCTCTAAAGAACTTAAATCCTTTCTTCTCCTAAATTAGAGCAACAGTAGTAAGCCAGTAAATTTACTTTGTTTTCTAATAATGAAATTATAATTGGGTAGCATAAAAAAGTAAATTCTTTCAAGAGTATGAGAGAAAAATGGTCATACTATACAAGAAAAACGAAAGAAAGTCCAATAAGTAAATTATCTCCTAATTAAAATATTAAATAATTTCCAATTTATATTTAAAAGGTATAAATTAATTAGATAGTTAAGATAAAATCTAGAATACACACAAAGAAATAACTCTTAGTGAAACTGGAAATATGTAAAATTATACTTATAATGATGAATTTGGAGTATAAATAACAAGTGATCATAAGTTAAATAAAAATTTTAATTAATATTTGACTAAAAAATAATGAGAACATCTCTGAATTAAAAATTATGATAAATAAAATAATAAGATTTAAAAATCGTTAATTTTATGTAACTTAAAAATACCATTTTTGTTTTTTATATTAAACTTATCCATTTTAAATAAATTAAATCATTTTTTTCTACTTTTTAAAAAATATAATTGAAATTAATTTTTCTAAAATAAGATTAGAGTTTCTAAAAAATTACAAAATATGCAGCTTTTGAAGAAAATTTTGTAAATAAATCTAAAAAAATGATATTTTAAAAAATAAACAAATCAAATCTTAAAACAGATGCTTTACTTTATAAATTAATTTACACAATTTTATGCTAATTACTTAATATGTCAATATATTTTACAAAAATATAAAAAAATGATTTAAATGAAAAAATATTACAATTGTTTAATTAATGTAATAATTATTTATTATGAAATAGTCATTTAAAATATAAAATGAAATCAACAATAATGGTATTTTAATAATAATAAAAAATGGTTTAAATTTCCAAATTTTAAAAGATTTTTATTTATTTTATTAATCTAATTTATACTTATTCATGGAAGTGTTATAATTTTATTACTGAAATAAAATTTGTTAAATAAAATATGTGTCATTAAGCATTTACGTAATGTTATTTTTAATATAAAATATAATTACTGTATTAACTACAAACTCTGTCCTCGATTTTCGGCAAAACCGACCGAGGATATCAACATTTTTCTATTTATTTCGAAAATTTCACCTAATCAAACTCCTACCAGATTCCCCTCTTAACTATCCCAATCTCCACAAATATTTTTTTAAATAATTAAAAAATCCCTTTATGTTATTACATTTAAGATGTAGATTTATCAATTTGTTTTAAGAATTTGTGAAATAAAATAATAAATTAAGGAAAAAGAAGTACATTTAAAAAAATAAATTAGTTTTTAAAGTGTATTTCTTATTTTTTTTAAAATTTGTTAAGAAATTAATTTACTAAAAAATATAAAGATAACAAATATTTTAAAAGAAAATATCAACATTATTTATTAAAGTTATTTTGTAAAATTTCTATCATCAAAGTTAGCCACTATAATTAAGATGTCATTATTTAAATCAATTATAATAAAGATCAGACTATTTTAGTTTGCAAAAAAATAAATTAGAAGTTGAAAAGATAAAAACTCAGTTTATCAAAACAAAGCACTTTTAAATTCTACTGGATATGATTTTTGTTTAATAATATGATTAACTGAATCTAAATAATTAGATATAAATTTCTTTAAATAATCCAAAAAACTCTTAAAAATTGCTTCAAAATAACAAATAGATAATAAAACGATCATACAATTTTGAATGAAAATAAGATTATTTTTTACAATTATTTTTACTCTAGCATCTAAGATTAGAGCTGAATGTTCAAGAGGAAATGTATTTAATCTAGTTTAATAATAGTGTTTGCCGTGTTCAAGCAGCTGCTAAAATTGTTTTAGCACTAGTTAAGACTCTTGCATAAGTTGCCCTCAGAATTATTATAAAAGTAATTTAAATTCTTCTACATGTGTTTAAAATTGCGAAGTTGGAGAAATATAAGCAGATAACTAATAATGTATTAAATGCTAGATTGTAGGATGCATTAAATGTGATTCTAAATAAAACTGCTTACAATGCAGTCCTAATTTATACTTTGATAAGGTAAATAATGAGTGTTCACTAAAACCAAAAATTTGCTAATCTGAATAGGATTTTATCTAAGAACCTTTTACAAAATAATAATGTGTAAATACCTGCCCAAGCTCATACTATCCAAATTAAAAAACATAAATATGCGAAAAAATTAGCTAATGTATATAAATTAACGATAGTCCTCCACTACTCAATGAAAAAGTTCTCTAATTAAACTCATTACATCAAGATTACTACCTTATTAGAGCAAATTCATGCTATTTTGCTTTAGTAGATTAAAATTTTTAGATAATTTACATAGAAATATTTTAAAATATGCCAGACTTTTAGATTAAATATATGAATACTGGAGAGGAAGTTTAATAAAAGAGTTTTATTTTTGAAGAATATGGAGGCTGCTTAGCTAATAATTCTATAAAAGTAATGAATTTTATTACTAAGCAAATTGTTTTTGAAAAAACTGATTTAGATTAGGATTATTTTGTTTAATATATTGACTATTAAAATAAAATAGTCTTTTTTAATTAAAAGAGTATTTGTTAAATAGCTTGGTATGATTTGATATAATACAAATTTACTACATTTGGATGTGGTTAAACTCCTATTATAGGTATTTTTTAAATCTACATTCTCAACAAAACAAACTATTACATATAGATTTCAGTTTACTCTTATTAGGTAATAAAATTTTCTGATTTATTTTTGTAAAACTCATTTAATTATTAATTTAGGTAGCTATTTTTTAAGAAGATAGATCTCTATAATTTTTAGAAACCTAATTCTAAATTTCAGGTTATTTATAAATTATGTAAGCAACTTAGAAATATTAAGATTTAATTTGCATTTTTTCTGATTATTTTGGAAGATCAACATCTATTTATAAGTTAGTTTACTTAGATGATAGTATTTTCTAAATCACGTTATTAGAAAAAGTTGATTTAACAAATAATATATTTTACAGTAGTCTGTTGAATTCAATTATCTAGTTTGATATAAAAAACCATGTGTTATAAATACTTGTTTTAAACTAGGTATCAGATTAAGTGGAATAAGCACTAAATATAACTATTACTAACTAGATAAATTATTCTTATCTTTTTGAAAACGAAGAATATAACTCTACTTTTATTTTCTTTATTTCAGACAAATTACTATTTATCAATTTGACTGATTATTTAATAAAGTTTTAAAATGATTTTTAGAGCTAAAACAATACACTAATCTAAGAATTAAAAAGCGGATTTATTACAAGTTAATCAAAAATTACAAATGTTTTTTTCAAATAGAATAATATTATTGAAATATTTTTATCATAAATTTTGGAAGTTTCAACTTATAATTACTAATCGATTAGAATATTTTTCAATACTACTGATTAAACTTATTTAATTAAGTATTTAAATCCTAATCTATATTAAAAGCCATATTATTGTATTAGTTAATTTTCTATAACAAATCTTTGCTAATATTAAAATATTTTTAGCTCAAATAAAAATACAGATATAAATTCATTTTATGTTTATGATTAAAACTAAGTATTAACTTCATAAGCTTTAGCAGTTTAAAAAATTTAATTTTCTCTTTTAAATTTATAAAAAACTTCTAGGATAAGTACGAGGTTCTATTCATTTGAATTATTTGATAATATAGTGTATTTTGATAAATTATAAATAATAAATAATAAATATATTTTATTAAGCAAATAATTTGATTCAGCTATTTAAGAATATGTGGTTGGAATTAATTCATAAAAGTAAATTATTTCTTATCAATACGATTCTTCGAATTATATAGGTGGTTTTTAATATTTGGAGAAAAGAAATTTACTGATAATCTAAAGTATTCCATAAATTTATAGTTTAGATACTCATTAATAAGTAATTCAAAATCCATTAGCATACTATTTTTCTCTTAAGAGTTTCGCTATTTTAAATGATGATTAGATAGTTTACTTGACTTTAAATCAATTAAAAGAGACGATTCTTTATTTGATAGATTTTTAAACAAACAATATATCAGAAATTTATAATTTTGGTACAAATTCTTAGCCCATTTTTTATTATGTTAATAATTTTTACAATCCTTTAGTTGCTTTTAATGATATTATTTATTTTTAGCTTTTTGATACTGACTGCTAGCCTTTTTCTATCAGCTAAAAAAATTTTGTCTATTAATCTATAACTATGCAATACTCTGTAATAGCCTATCCTTACTTTAATTACTAAAAAACAGGTGAGATTTTCATATTTTACTAGTCTCTTATTTAAGTTTATAGCTTTGATTTATCTCAAAGCGAGCAGTATAGTTTCGGTATAAATTATTAAGCTATTTATGGTTAAAAAATTCAAGTTTTTAATGACAGATATGTTTTTTATTTTGATCAAAGCTATTTTTATAGATTTGACATGGAATTAAAGCAAATTACAACAATAAGTGCTAAAACTGATCTTGCTTTGTATGGAAAAAGAACTATTTACTTTAATTTTTTAGATGAAAATTCATAATACATCAAAAAGTCTGATAATATTATAGATACAAATAAAATGGCTATTATTATGAGTTAACTAGAAGATAGCTATCTATTAGGGAGTGTAGATAATGATGATAATACTAAAATACATAGTTTCTTATCTTAAGATGGAGTTTTTTGGATTAATAATTTATTCAACAATCCATTTAGTGTTTATAATTTCACATAAAATTAAGTAATTCAAGACATTAATTTACAAAATAATAAAATTGCAGTCTATGATAATTTCACATAAAATTTAATCATTTACGATATTATTAAAACTAATAATGAATTAGTTGCTATAAAGTTAAATTTTACATTTGATCTCACTATAACTATTGTTGATTGGAATTTAGTATCCTTCATATGGGTAAAAGAAAATGTCTTTTATCTATAAAAGACATAAAATTAACCATAGACATCAATAATTATAGAATTAGAATCTCAAGTTATTAAATACTACTACTGTTCAAATTAACAAACTTTAGTCGCTCTCACTTCTGATAAAATGGTTTATTCAATAAATGTAATCCAACTTTTAATATTTTAATTCTATTTAAAAAATTATTAATTAAAATAGGTATTCGCAAAGACATATTAATGGTTAGAATATATTTTCTAAACATCTTAGCTAGGTTTTTTTGTTCAGTGTGAAGATAGCTAGATAGTATTTTATTATCCATATGTTAAAATTTTTGATTTAGTTTCAGTAGAAAGATTAGGATACTTTGAAGATAACGTAAATAAAAATATTTCATTTTTTAAACTAATTTAGAATAAATTACATTTAATTTTTAAAAAATTTGAAATTATAAAATTCAAAAAAAAATATTAGAAATAACATTGAAGATTTTTTTTTTAAAAATTAAAAATAAAATATATTTTTATAAACTTTATTACTATTTAAAGTTGTACGATATAGGAATGGTATATAATATTGAGTAAACTATACCTTTAGTAAGTAGGCAAGACTAGTTGGTGGTAGTTTTTTTTAGCTAGAGTTACAATTTTTTTAGATTATTGGGCTTTGAAAGTACTGACTATTTGTTTGAGTATAGATATAATAATACTAACTTATTCTATGACAGTAATTATAAAATATTGGTTGGACTAACAGGATCATTAAAATAAGTAAACATTATTAGCATTCCAGGAAAATAATAATTATTCCTTTACGAATGTGTTGGATAATTTGCTAAAAATGCAGTTTATTATTATTAAGAATAAACTAGCTTGATAGTAGTTGATAGCAGTCCAACTATTTATCTGTTTAATTATTTAACCCTGAATGTTACAAACTTTAGAATTGATATAAATAACATCCAAGGCGTTTTGATGGATAAAAACAAGAATATAGCTTTTTTATATTCAAATTAGCTTATATTAACATTTTAGTTTCCTAGTATGTAATTTATAGAAACAATATCTTTATAAAACTATAATGCTACTTCTATTGTATAAGTTTATCTAAATACGCAGTAGTCGTTGATGATTGTTTAGACTTATACAAATATAATTGCTTTTGATCTGACAGAAATTCTTTATGCTAGCCCTACTAAATTACTTTAATACTAAAAAGTATAACATTTAAATATCAATTAGAAATTTTTTGTAAGTTATAGTATTCTAAATCTCTCACTAAATTTGTATTAAAATTCTTAGCTTGTTTATAGTTTACTATTTGAGCCTTCATAATAAAACATATACCCTTATTTTACATAGTTGCTTTTGATCTAAGATTGTTAATTTTTATATACTTAACTCTAATATATTAACATAGTTTAAGCAGATTTATAATAAAAAAAGCTGATTTTGTTACAAAAGGTAAAATTAATTAGTCAACCTGACAATTATTTTTATGACTTTTTTGACAATTAAATATTTTTATTTTATTAGTAGAATTATTAGCTTACCAAAATCAATTTAAATGATAAAAATATAACTGAAACAAATTTGGTTAATTTCACTGAAGGAGATATTTCTATATCGCTAATATGCAGTTAATTTATAGTTCTTCCTTCATTCAATTTCCTTTAAATTTATGATATAAACTATCAAAAAATAGATTTTATCAAATTTTCAAGTATTGCTACAATTAAATTTGTTTTCAAATTACAAATAAAATAATTTTAGTCTTATTAAAATAATTGGTGGAATATTCCTTTTGATTACGAAGAAAGGTTTAATGGTAATGATCCTTAATAAGATAACTAAAAGCTTATCTGTTTAATTGTTTAAGAAGGAAATAATATTATGATATACATAGTTAATCTTTAAAATAAATAAATTTTGTATTAATATTAATTATCAAAATACTCTAGAGTTACAAATGTAGTAAGCGATCCCTTTAGGCAGCTAATATATGTAGTTAATAATTAAAGTTTAACTTTGGTATTCTCTTATAAGCTAAATTTAATTATAACCCTCTAGAATGCTTGTCTAAAATAAGCTAAAATTTCATATGACTCAGATTTTGTATATTCGATTTGCCCAAATGATATCATAATTTATAATGGATTAAGTTTTTAACAATAATTTCCAATTGTTGACAAAGGAATAAAAGAAGTTGAAAATTTTATTAACACAAAATATAATAACTATTTTATTATTATATAAAAAAATAAACTTTCTCTCATAAAAATGGATTATCTATCTGACTACCAGCTTGTTTATGAAGTCAATAAAACTTACCAATAGCTATTAAATATGAATGTCACTAGAGACTAAAACTATTAAACTTCTATAGAACTTTTACTTTCATCATATGATATTATTTAGCATTAAATAGTGCCTTTACAATAAAATTAAAATTGCTATGTAAACATACAACAGTAAAATAGACCAATAGAAAATATTTACACAACCATCTAATTATTTTAAAGTT